AACATCACTCTTGTCATTTCCCTTTTATTTCTTTCAAACCAGACATATGCTAATTAAAAGCATAAAAAAACTATTTCCATTCCACCTAGAAGTTGTTCTTCCATCCGATCAATTTCCTAGCAAGTTGTATTAGTCAAGGTCTTCCCCGTCCATAACTATAATGAAAGTGCGAATTCTAACAAGTTATTTCATCCAATAATTTTCCTAACAAGTTGTTAGTCGAGGTCTTCCCATTCAGAACAAATACAAAGTGCAAATGCTAACACGTTATTCCATCTAAGAATTTTCCTAACAAAGTTGTAAGTCAAAGTCTTCCTAACAAAGTTGTAAGTCAAGGTTTTCTTGTGCATAAACTCATATGGATTGAGAAAAAAATGAAAAAATTGACCAACAACTTAAAAAATTTAATGGTAATCATTTTTTAGTGGTTTAGTAAAATAAAAATCTTCAGATTTAAGAAATAAACCGACTATTATTCTTCAAATTAAATTAGACAACCAATGACCCCCTTTTTTTTTTTTTTTTTTTTGTTTTAATGGAAGACAACCAATAACTTTAATTCAATTTTATAGCCCGGTTATAGCTTAGTTGAAAATTTCATTTTTGGTCTCTACAATTTTTTTGATACGTTCCACAATTAATTTTCTACAATTAATTTTTTTAAATCTTCAATGATTGCCATGATCTTAACAATAATTACTGTTTCATATTTATAAAAGTTATCAGAAATAGCTGTAATTAAATGACTTCCAAGGATGAGTTGAACTTTTAAAAAATAAAATGTTGAAAAGAGCTTTAGTATGAAAATCATTTTCTAAAACTCCTTTACGGTATTACCAAATTATAGTGAGAAATGATTAATAGACAATTTTTATATATAATTTTTTTCTGTTTAACATTGAATGTCATTTAATGATTAACTCTTTTACTTTACTAAGACCCACAATATTGTATACATCTACTTATTTAATAATATATAAAAATTGTAAATAAAATTATACAAAAAAAATACCTGTATATTATTACCCCATTTTAATTACAAGAATAATACATATGAAGATGCAAAAGACTTTTGGAGTCTATTTTTGTCATTCTCAAAACATAAATTGGGTAGAATGATATAATCCCACTACATTAATTAGTATGACTATGAACTCAAAGGTATCTTTTTTCTATTATTGTAGAAATTAAAGACGTTCTAAAACCCTAATACATTTTTATTAGGAAAAAGACTCTGGAGATTAGCATTGACTCAAAGGTCTTCATTATTGAAGTCACTCTCAAAAGCTAAATTTCGCTGAACTTTCATAGAGGAAGTGAAGTTTGAAATGTTCTTATAAACATTTTCTTTCAATGGCGAATTCCTCAACCAAGATGGGAAATTCACATGACTCTATTTGATGGCGAAAAAAAAAAAGACGAAAAAGAAAGGAAAAAAAAGCTTTGAAAATAGTAAAAAAACTGCACAAAGTAAAACATTTTCTCGACTCATATAGATGGAGAAAAAATGAAAAAAACACCAACAATCTAAAAAAAGCTTAGTGGTAATATCTTTCTAGTGGTGTAGCAAAATAAAAATCTTTAGATTTAGGAAATAAAGATAATGTTGGCATCTTTAAATAAAAAAAATGAAATTTAACATTCTTAAATAAAAAAAAGTTGAAAATTGACATTTTTAAATAAAAAAAAATTGAAACTTGATATTTTTATTTAAAAACTAACAAAATCAACATTTTTAAGTAGGAAAAAAAATAAAGTTGGCATCCTTATTTGCACATTTTCTCTGTTGAAGTATATGAATGGGAAAATAATCTTCTTAACTGAGCTATGATTGTTAAATAAACTTTAGTTTGGATGTTTGTATTTTGTAATTGCAAGCTTGTTTTTTGTATGGTTCTATAACCAGTGGATGTAATGAATTTAAGGTATCCTCTGTACTTCCTTAATAAATTATTTTCTAATAAAAAAAAAAAAAGGAGAAAGTGGAAACTGCTGAGTTGAATCAATTAATAATATGCGGGACCCATTTATGACACAACTCGGAGTCATGGACTAGTTGCTTTTGCTTACTTGTGTATATAAAGGCCAAAGGTGTGTTGCCGGTAATGCAAGGAGACAGTAGCAGTACTTAATTGGTGGTTGATCTGAGAATATTTTGATGGAGTCGAAATGGTTAATTTATGTATTATTTACGCTCTTCTTATTAGAAGGGCTGTGGTGCCAAGGGTGTTGGGATCAAGAGAGAACTGCTCTCCTCCAACTCAAGCCTTTCTTCACTAAACCTGCGCACCTAAAAAACTGGGAGAGACGTGAGCAAAATTTAGATTGTTGTCAATGGGAGGGGATTGAGTGCAACTCTACTTCTGGACGAGTCATAACACTCAATCTCAATTACTCATGGTTCGAAGAAGAATTTGATGGTTACATGTATACACCAAATGCCTATATCGGATTGGAGAATGTCATGTATCTAAATGCGTCTTTGTTTCTTCCATTTGTGGAATTGAAGAATCTCAATTTGGCTGGAAATGAAATAGCTGGTTGCATGGAAAATGAAGGTTTTAATCGGTCTTTCAACTTAATTTCATCTTTTACTTAAAAAAAAAAAAAAACATTTGTTTATCATTTCATCTTTATTATTTTTTGGTGTAGTTTCAAATTTTTATATTTGTGGTTCCCAAAACTGAATTGGTAATTAGCTTGAATGTTGCAAGAAATTGTCTTGCAAGTTTTGAGAGGCTAAGTTGAGGAATTTGAAAATCCTTAATCTAAAAAGCAATCAATTGAACAATAGTGTCCTATCATCTTTTAGTAAGCTTTCATCCCTTAAGTGTCTATATTTAACCAACAACAGTATCTAAGCATCTAACCATATTGATACCATATTTGTACATTTTTTACTTATAAAAACCTGTTCTCTTATTGCTTCATCTTAATATTTATGTGTGGCTCCAAAATTAAATTAATAATTTTACATATTGCAGGTTTGGAGAAGCTTTCTAAGTTGAGGAATCTGGAAATTATTGATCTATATAGCAATCAATTCAACAATAGTATCTTATTGTCTCTGAGTGAGCTTACCTCTCTCAAGTCGCTACATCTAGCTAACAACAATTTCCAAACATCTAACCATGCTAATGGTATAATTGTCCATTTTTTACTTATAGAAACCTGTTTCCTTATTGTTTCATCTTAATATTTATGTGTGGCTTCAAAATTAAATTAATAATTGTACATTTTGCAGGTTTCGAAAACCTTTCTAAGTTGAGAAATCTAGAAATTCTCGATTTATCTGACAATCAATTGAATAATAATATCTTAACATTTTTGAGTGAGCTTCCATCTCTTAAGTCCTTATATCTAGGCAACAATAATTTCCAAGCATCTAACCATGCTGACGGTATAATTCTCCATTTTTTACTTATAGAAACCTGTTTCCTTATTGTTTGATCTTAATATTTATGTATGGCTCCAAAATTAAATTAATAATTGTACATTTTGCAGGTTTTGAAAAGCTTTCTAAGTTGAGAAATCTAGAAATTCTCGATCTATTTGGCAATCAATTGAATAATAATATCTTAACATTTTTTAGTGAGCTTCCATCTCTCAAGTCCTTATATCTAAGCAACAACAATTTCCAAGCATCTAACCATGTTGACGGTATAATTCTCCATTTTTTACTTATAAAAACCTGTTTCCTTATTGTTTCATCTTAATATTTATGTGTGGCTCCAAAATTAAATTAATAATTGTATATTTTGCAGGTTTCGAAAAGCTTTCTAAGTTGAGAAATCTAAAAATTCTCGATCTATCAGGCAATCAATTGAATAATAATATCTTAACATTTTTGAGTGAGCTTCCATCTCTCAAGTCCTTATATCTAGGCAACAACAATTTCCAAGCATCTAACCATGCTGACGGTATAATTGTCTTTTTTTTTTTTTTACTTATAGAAACCTGTTTCTTTATTGTTTGATCTTAATATTTATGTGTGGCTACAAAATTAAATTAATGATTTTACATTTTACAGGTTTCGAGAAGCTTTCTAAATTAAAAAATCTAGAAATTCTTGATCTATCTGTCAATCAATTGAACAACAGTATCTTAGTATTTTTGAGTGAACTTCCATCTCTCAAGTCTCTAAATCTAGCCAGGAGCAACTTACTAGCATCAAATTATGGTATAGTTTTGCCTTTATGCTTTATGGTCGGACGTTAAAGTCAATAATTTCAATTACCATTTTGATTTTTTTTCAATATAATTAATCCATTTATTAATAATGAAGGTATAAATTCTTCTTTCCCTTGATAATCTCATCTCAATAAAAGCCAATTTGCTACGATCTTTTTTTAATATATTTTTAATGAAATAAGGAATTAAAGAGAAGAAAAAAGATACATATAATTGTTGTGAAAAGTGGAAACTGCCAAGTTGAATTAAGAACGTGCAGAAAGTTGAATTAAGAATGTGCGGAACCCATTTATGACAAAAAATGGAATCATGGAATAGATGCTTACTTGTGCATATAAAAGTCTAAAGTGAATTGCTGGTAATGGCCCGGAGATATGTAGTAGCAGTACTTGGCGGTTGATCTGAGCTTATTTTGATGGAGTTGCAATGGTTAATGTATGTGCTACTTACACTCTTCTTAGTAGATTGGCAGTGGTACCAAGGGTGTTGGGATTGATAGTGAAGTGTTCTCCTCCAACTCAAACGTTTCTTCAATTCTATTTTTTCTCTAAGAAACTGGGTGAGAGGAGAGGAAAAATATAGATTATTGTCAATGGAAGAAGGTTGATTGCAACTTTCACCACAAGACTAGTCATCTCACTCATCCTTGCTTTCACACAGGCTGAAGCATATAGTAGTAGTTTCACTGACATGTATCTGAATGCCTCTTTGTTTCTTCTATTTGAGGAATTGAAGTCTCACTTTGAATTTTAATTGAATAGCTAGTTGCATATTAATAAAGGTTTTTAACTACCATTCAACTTAGCTAATATTGTGATTATCAACAATCGGGCATTTCAACATGTATATGATTGGTATATTCATCTCATTATTGTTGTCCTATCCTACATTTTATTTGTGTTATTTTTTTAATTGAACCAAAATTACAATTCTTGTGCTTTACTTACAGGGTTTCTTAAGCATTCAAAGAAGTTGAGCCATTTGGAAATCCTTAACTTGGAAGAAAATTTCTTCAATAACAGCATTTTGTCATATTTGACCGAACTTTTATCTCTCAAGTCTCTAAATCTAGCTAGCAACAAACTCCAAGCATCCAACCATGTTGATGGTACAGATATCCACTTTTTACTTATTGAAACCTATTTCCTTATTGTTTCATCTTAATATATATGTGGCTCCAAAATTGAATTAGCGATTGTACGTATTGCAGGTTTCCAGAAGTTTTCTAAATTAAGAAAATTGGAATTCCTCGATCTAAGTTATAATATGTTGACCAATAATAGTATCGTATCATCTTTGAGTGAGCTTCCATCTCTCAAGTTTTTATATCTAGCTGAAGATGAATTTCAAGCATCCAACCATGCTGATGGTATAGATGCCCCCCTCTCTCTTATAGAATCTGTTTCCTTATTGTTTCATCTTAATATATATGTGACTTCAAAACTGAATAAATAATTATATGTATTGTGAGTTTTGAGAGCCTTTTCTATGTTGAGAAAACTTGCAAATCCTCAATCTAAATCACAGTAAGTTGGACAATAGTGTTTTATCATCCTTGAGTGGTAACTAGAACAACTTACTAGTTTCAAACTATGATATAGTTTTAATTTTATATTATATGCTTAGCAAAATTAGACGCTAGTGGACAACAAGCTTTGATTGTTAATTTGTAACAGCTGATTTAGAAAAGCTGTCAAGACTTGACCATTTGGAGGTGCTTGACCTAAGTGGAAGAATAAACTTCAGCTACAACATCCTATCATCTTTGGCAAGTCTTCCATCTTTAAAAGCTGTATCCCTAGGAGATGGTGAAATAAAAATGAACCCGAGTAAAAGAGGTAAACTTGCTTTATCTCCATTTTATTATTACAATTATAATTTTTTCTTTCAAAAATGTGTCATCTTGTTATATTTTATTGGCCTAAAAATTTTTATGGTAAATTTTCATCTTTAGTGTAATTTTTTTTCCATCTTCTTAGAATATTTTTCTTAGAAATATATGTTCTTGCTTTGAATTTATTAGTTATGATGAAAGATTGCAAGAATATAATTAATTGCTTTTCTTATAAGGTTTTCATAACTTGTCCAAAGTGGAAGAGTTGTTTCTGGATTATTCTATCCTCCCAACCAACTTCTTTCATGGCATTGGAGCATTGACTTCTCTCAAGGTTCTATCACTGTACAACTGCAGACTCAATGACTCCTTAACACTCCAAGGTTAGTTACAAATTTAAAGAAATAACTCTTTATTATTTCTTTAAATTTTTATGGTAAAATAAAAATGAACCTGAGTAAAAGAGGTAAGCTTGCTTTATCTCCATTTTATTATTACAATTATAATTTTTCCTTTCAAAAATGCGCCATCTTGTTATATTTTATTGGCCTAAAAATTTTTATAGTAAATTTTCATCTTTAGTGTAATTTCTTTTCCATCTTAGAATATTTTTCTTAGAAATATATGTTCTTGCTCTAAATTTATTAATTATAACAGAAGATTGCAAGAATATAATTAATTGCTTTTCTTATTAGGTTCTCATAACTTGTCCAAAGTGGGAGAGTTGTTTCTGGATAATTCTATCCTCCCCACCAACTTCTTTCATGGCATTGGAGCATTGACTTCTCTTAAGGTTCTAACACTGTACGACTGTGGACTCAATGACTCTGTAACACTCCAAGGTTAGTTACAAATTTAAAGAAATAAGAACCAATGTCCAGATTTTACCCATTTTTTCTCTCTCTATATATATATATATTTGGGGCTATAAGACTAACTTTGTAAGTGTTGTATATGTTCACAGGCCTGTGTGAATTGACACATCTTGAAGAGTTGGATGTGAGCTACAATTATTTAGGGGGAGCCCTACCTTCATGTTCATCAAATTTGACTTCTCTCCTAAGCTTAAGCCTCGATTCAAACAAATTTTTTGGAGATATAGCTCTATCACCCCTTAACAAATTGACATCCCTTCAATATCTGTCCCTTTTAGATAATCACTTCCAAATTCCCATCTCCCTTCAACCATTTTTCAACCATTCAAAACTCAAGCATCTTTATGCTGAAAATAATGAATTTTACATAGATAGCAACATTGAATCTTTGGAACCAACTTTCCAACTAAATACCTTACTTTTGTCTAGTTGTGGAGATTGTGGAGCAATTCCAAACTTCCTCTACTCTCAACACGACCTGGAGTATTTACACCTCTCGCACCTTAACCTAACGAGAGAGTTTCCCATTTGGTTGTTGGAAAACAACACAAGGTTGAAGACACTTTCCCTGGTTAACAATTCTCTCTCTGGACTTATTGAGTTGCCAGCTCATTCTCATATGAGTTTGGAAAGTCTAGATATCTCCAAAAATTTCTTGGATGGCCATATTCCAATGGAGATTGGAGCATCTTTGCCAAGTTTACTAGATTTAAACATATCGGAAAATTCTCTTACTGGCAGCATTCCTCCTTCAATTGGTGATATGAAGTCGCTGCAGTCTTTGGACTTATCTCACAATAACTTATCTGGTGGAATACCTGAGAAGTTAACCATGGGTTGCTCATCATTAGTTTCACTTATTCTATCAAACAACGATCTACAAGGCCAGATTTTCTTTGAGAAATTTAGCTTATTCCAGTTGGAGGAATTACACTTGAATGGCAATCACTTTTCTGGAAGTATCCCAAAAAGCTTATCTAACTGCTCCTATTTGTCTTCAATAGATTTCAGCAATAACAATCTCTCTAGTAGGATCCCGAGATGGATGGGAAATATGTCACACTTGCAAGACATTATCATGTCCCATAATGGTCTTGAAGGTCCAATTCCTATCGACTTTTGTCAGCTTCAATTTCTTCTAACTCTAGACCTTTCAAATAACAATATTTCGGGGAGTCTACCATCTTGTTTCGGCTCAAGGCTTATAAATCATGTTCATTTATCCAAAAACAGGCTAGAAGGATCACTGACAACACAGTTTTGTAAGAGCTCTTCTCTAGTAACGCTAGACCTTAGTGACAACCAGCTAAGTGGTAACATCCCAGATTGCATCAATATGCTTGGTGACTTGAGTTATCTTATCTTGAAGAACAATAATCTTGAAGGTAAGATCCCATGTCAACTATGCAAGTTGCAGAAATTGAGCTTGATTGATCTATCTCAGAACCATCTTTCAGGCCGTATACCCTCTTGCCTAAATCTTACTACTAATGAGCTATATAATGAGGATAATTATGTTGCTTCTACTCTTATTCCTGGTCTATTTCTTTCACGATCTTTCAAGGATACGCTTTCTATTGGTGAACCAGTGCATTTCATAACACGGAATTTCACAACAAAGAATGAAAAGGATATTGGAGAACCAGTGCATTTCACAACAAAGAATATGGAATATTCTTACAAGGGAAGACTTCTCACCTACATGTCTGGAATAGACCTTTCCTGCAACAAACTGATCGGTGAAATTCCTTATGAAATAGGGCACCTTAGTAAGATTCATGTACTAAACCTGTCTCATAATTTCTTGGTTGGTGGAATCCCATCTACATTTTCTAACCTTAAGCAAATCGAGAGCTTGGATCTTTCCTACAACAATTTGAGTGGGAAAATTCCTCCCGAGCTTGTTGAGTTATATTTCTTATCTACCTTTAGCGTAGCATACAACAACTTATCAGGTAACACACCAGCAATGATCCGACAATTTGCAACATTTGATGGAAGTTGTTACCAAGGTAATCCTCTGCTTTGTGGGGAACCAATGAAAAGTTGCTCAATAAGAAGTCCACCACCAATGATCCAGGAAGGTCCAACACAGGGCAGAGAAGATGATGGTTTCATCGATATGGGTGTCTTCTACGTGAGTTTAATTGTGTCTTACATAATGGTGCTCATAACTATTGCTGCAGTTCTTTACATAAATCCTTATTGGAGACGGGTGTGGTTTTATTACACTGAGATGTGCTTCATTTCTAGTTACTATTTTATTGTCGATCATCTATCCAAGTCATGAAGCAATGCATTAAAGAATGTAGCTATTTTATAGTTGTCATTTCTAAATTGCTCTTCTTATTGTTTCTTGTTTGGAATTGCAATGAAACGTTTTACATGTGAGCTCTTTCAAGTAAATTAGCAAGCAGAGTTTGGAACCTAATTTGACAAAAGTTATGTTCTAAGGGAGTAATGATTAAAGTAATAACTATTAGTAATTTACTATTATGCAACTCAAATTCAAAATAATGAAATACTTAATTCGTTAATTAGAGTAATAAAAAGGACTAGATTAGAGGGATGATTATTGGTTATTAGTTGGTCAAAACATAAAAATAAAACAAAATTGAAAATTTACTTGATAACTTCGGGATACAGAGTTCTTATGATTTTATTAAGAAGAGAAAAACAAAGTTAGTGTTTGGTTGGTAGTGCTCTAAATTTTTTTTTAAGAACCTATCTAGAACTTTATATTTTAATTAATATTCTTAAAAATTAATTATTGGATTGAAAGTTCAATTAATATAAATTATGAATATCAATTTTTATATTAATCTAACACTTCTAATATTTTGATAAAAAAAAAACTTTATTTATTGACACATATTTGATAATGTTCAATTTTATATAATAACAAAATAGTTAAACCCACTAAAACAATTTAAAATTTGACATATAAATTATACGAATAAAATTTTTAATTTAACATTTGAATTTTCAAAAAATTAATTAAAATATGAATTTTAAAATAAATTCTCTAGAAAAAAACAATATGCAAAACACTTAAAAAAAACCTCTGTTGATAACAAGATTTCCATTTACCTCCATTTTATTTAATTACACGGCGTTGTTTTCCATCATACCTCTTCTGCCAAGGAAACGAAATCATCCATCCGGCAAACAAAACCCATTTCCTTCTGCGTTTGTGCTACTCCTCGCTGGACCAACTCAAGTATTCCTTCAGGTTCCTTCTGCTAGAATTTAAGCAATCAATCCTACTTCATTTTCTACGACATTTCATTAATCTTAATCTTATTTTGATTGAAATTTTCAGTTAAACAATGCAAATTCGTTGGTCAATCTGTGGTAACGCTTCTGTCCATGCATCCTTCCATGTTTTTTAGCTGAATTCTTATTTGGTTTTGAATTTTTGACAAAAGTAATCAGCTTTTCTTTGTGTGGGTAGAGAGCATTGCCAATTCAGATCATAACAGTGGGGAAGAAGAGGTCCCCAGGTGTCCAGTTGCCGGTAGATGGGTATATTGATAGGCTCGGAAACTACTGTTCCGTTAATGTTGTTCTAAGTCACTCTAACCCCAAAAATTCACGGTGCTTTCATTCCCCTTTTCTGTAATTTTATGCCATTAATCTATTTTTATAGTTTCTAACTTAATTTAGATGAGTTTATGCTGGTTTTGTGTATGTAGAGATGTGAAGGCCCAGGTTGATGATGAAGATATGGCTGTCATGAACCATATCAGGTCTGATGACTGGGTACTCGTCTGGAAAACCCTCCATAGTTTTACTTTTACTTTGTTTTTTTATTAGTATCATTATTGATTTGGTTTATGGGGGTTTGGAGATACAGTCTTGTTGGGATTTATCCTTGTTTTGGGATATTGTGTTTATAGGTTGTGATGTTGGATGAGCATGGATTGGATTTAGGGTCTGAGCAGTCTGCTGAATTAGTAGGAGATGCCGGGAGTAACGTAGGGAACTACAACTCACTAAAAGGTTGCCGATATTGATGTATTAATTTATCTATGGAATTGGATTTGTTCTTGGTATCAATATTTCTCTGTTCTGCGGCAAGAATTATATATAGCAATGAACTTGCTGTTCTGTTTCAAATGGTTGCTGCCTTGTTGGGCCCTAAAAATATTCCGAGTTTCCATATTGTAATTGTGGATGCATGGTTTATGTATTATCTTAACGGAAAACTGGTTTGCAACTGCTATTGCAAATTTTTGGGCGGACGGGATGATTAAAATGGTGTCGTTTAGTGTTCAGTAAACCCAGCTTTTGTCTCTCCTCTCCTTTCCTTTGTTTCAGAAATTCAAAAACCCTGCATACGAATACCCTCTCTAAATTCTTTATCTTTGCATCAATAACCTCATCCTCTTTTCTTCTTCGATTTCCCTCTGTTTTTCTTTATCCTAAAACCTTCTATTCTATCTTTGATTTCCCGAACTCGATTCTACTCTTCAATTTCCCCTTTATAAGATGCCTACCAGGAACCATTGAAAACTTTAGAGAGTAAAGAAAGAACAACTGGAAACATAGAAAGAAAACATAAATTAGAGTGAAAGATGAGCCAAATTAACAGGAAAATATTATAGCTCTTTTTGTTACATATGCTCCACGATACTTCTTATTTTGGTCTAAAACTTTGCTTTTTCTTTTTTTCTCTTTTTTTTTTTCAAATAATAACAATCGATTGGGAGCATTTGGGATAAGGCAGCCTTTTTAGAGAAATCACAGCTATCCAAGATGAAGAGAGAACAAAATGAAGGAAAATTGATCAAAAAGAACCAAAGTAGCAATCAAACCACTGAGAAATCACGGTGATGGAAGGAAGAACAAGATGAAGGAAAATCTAACAAACTTCAGAGACAATGAGCGAAAAGCACCTAGCAATGGAAGGGGAAAATCAAAGATGAAGAAAAAAAAAAGCTCATGAAGAATAGATCGACATCAATTGGGGTTAGGGATTATCTCGATGAAGGGGATGGAGTAAGAAATGGAGGAAAATAAAGAACAGAGGCTTGAACACTGAAACTGCATCGTTTTTAGTAATCTTGTCCGTCTAAAAGTTAACAAGACCGGCTGCAAACCAGTTTTCTGTTATCTTAATATAGCAAAGATAAAACTCATCGCCAAATATGAACAATTCAATGTCCAATATTTCATCTATGATTTGGTGGAGAAAATAAGATTACCTGATTGAAATCAATTTGGATTTGTTCTTTAGGTAGGCTTTAATTAATCAAGAAAATTCGGTGCTAGTGATCACCAGATTGAAATCAATTTGAATTTGTTTCTCTTAAA